AGAAAAACTGGGCGAAGATGGCACGTCGACTGGTCTCAGAATCAAATACTGAAGAAACAGCCATGGTGATGAGGGTGGTGGAGGGGGATCGTGCTCGTGAGTGACTGCCCTCATTTGTGGTTGTAGGGAGCATATCGAGATCCCCTCAAAAGGAAAGGAGGGAGGGAGGGAAGGGGGAGGTAAGTCATAAAAAATTTTCGAAGTAGGCCGAATGCCACGGTCAGTCCTGTCTCCCGCCTCCTTCCCTCTATGGTCTTCCTCCATTTTTACCCACACAGAGCATATTTATGAAATGGAAGGAAACTCGGGAGGGAAATATAAGCTACAGACAGAACATAAAAAAACAGAACTGTAAAAATTGCAATTTTCAAAAATGCCACAAAGATATCGGAGAATTTCTGAAAAAGATTCCCGTATATTCACCAAAAAACTGTCAGCTCTGAAAAAAGATAGAAATAAATAAGTGCTATCATTTGAGTTCAAAGCGCCCACCTCAGCAGAAGTCGTGCCGAAAAATCTGTTTAGTGGATGGATAGAGTAGCAGCGAGTATCACAGATGTGCCGTTGTTGCGGCTCGAAAGTGCGCGACAATGGCGCTAGGGTTTTACAAAGTGAACTTATGGCGACTAATCTTAACTTATGGACGAGATACCTCGCGCACACCCCATGACACGCAACGTGGATTACGTAGCGGCTAATTCAAATACGCGCGGGTTAGTGGAGCCATGGAGCAAGCAAGTTCGTACAACTCGTCCGGCCCCGCCCCTTCCTTATTTTAAAGGCAATTCAGGATTGAATTATGAGTTAATTCCACTTAAATGTGAAAGTAGGGGTAGGTAGTGGACCGCCAGTGCAGAAAAGAGAAAAAGAAATCGTGAAATGCTTAGGAAATACGAGCCATTTCCTCTACGGTGCGGAGAAGTTCAAAAGGCCGGCAGGGAGATGAGAGATAATGTGAGCGCGGAGAGCGCTAGAGAAGTCTAAGTAGAGAGAGAGCATAGCAGATCAACATTCCGACGCAGTCAAGATATCGAGCGGTGGGCGGAGCGTGTCGCAGCAGGTGGAGCGTGTCAAAGTTCTTAGAGCCTAGCGTCTAAATAACGGTTTTCGAAGTAGGGAAGTGACGCGACCCCTACACTTGCGTGCCTAGCGCTTCTAGCCACCGTAAAGGCTCATTAAGTGGGTCTGAGCCCGAACTTTGCCTTTAAGGATAAGACAAAAGACCTTCTTTCTTTTTTAGTCGGAATTACCTCATACCCATCAGCTCCACCTACGATCGGCTGTGACCTCACAATTTTCGATGGCGGGGCGCGTTGCTCTTATGTTGCTCTGTTAACGCATATCATTTCTCACGCATGTCAAAATAAAGATAAAAGACAGTAAATCGGTGTTCTTGACGCAATCCCCAATGATTCAAGTACTGTAACTGTGCGAAAAATCGTGCCTGTTGAATTTTTGTCTAAACGTCATTGTCAAATGGCACTATAAGTGATGCAAATCCGATTGCGCTGCTCCAATGCTGTCAGCGGAAGCGAACACGTTAGTTTCTACCAATATATAGTGCAGCCATCGGCTGAATAGCCCATTAACCCAATGATCCATCCTCATTTTCTAGCTGAGCTTTCGAGAAGTTCTTAGGTCATATGAACTTTCTCTGACCGCAGAACAATTCCATTCCTACCTCTTACTTTCTTGGCTAAGGAACATATGTTTCTAAGCGACTATTTGAGGTTGGAGTACACCTAGAATACATCTTTGCCTATGTGTTCATGAATAAGTGACATAAGTGGTTTTAAAGATTTGAACTGACCTATTCCTATGAAAGATTCTTTATGTCACGTCCACAAGTTCATTTGATATTGTTATGGTATACAACCCTACGATTAAATCCTTCTGGGATATGCCAGAAACTCCAACATTGAGATTTAATTATGGACTAAAGGCCTGAGGGCGCCATACGGGTGCATGCCATAAACCGGCTTATTTTACTAGAGTTTATTCTCACAACAGTAGTTGGTGCCAGCTTCCGATTCCTAATTGACAAGGTGGCCCTGTGACCTGATCCACAAGATGTGCGTGTAGTGTCACTACACCTATTGCCTCTTCTACATACAGCTTAACCGTTCAGAGCACTTGGCAAACCAAAGGAGCTTGCAAACCGAAGTCATGATTCCTAATGTTGACCGCAGGCTAGCGTCGGATTTTAACAGCCTCTTAGGGGATCATCATGCGCGAATTCATATACCCCGACGACGGTCCGACACAGGAATCGGGACCTCACTGCTCCAACTCTCCAAGTGGAATCTATAATTGTACAAAAGGAACGAGATGAAAGCCCGGTTCGTGTTTCCACTGGAACGCGCCTAATAGCTACAGTGAGCATTTCCCCCCCCTCCCACGTTCCCCTTTTGTCGCATCCCCCCCCTTCCCGACACCATAGACCTTCTTGGCTCACAAGTTTCTTAGACAAGGCAAAATTGCAATTAACACATACTACCAAAGTATCATCGTATCATACGGGTTAGAATAGCTTGACTTGCATAGGTGTGGATGAGAACATGCGGACTGTGGGGTACAAATATACACCAGGTGGCGCGCAAATAAGGCCGGTGTCAGACTGCGAATCCAGTGAGGTACGAACTTTGCACCAGCTGATCGAGCTATGTGCCAGCCGACCGACCGCTGAAAGTGACGCACACTCTCTCGTTTGCACGCTGACACTCGCGCTACTCGAGCTCTCATGCCCACGAACCCGAGAAATGGCGAGAGCCTATTTCCAAATTGAGTCTCGCCACTTTACAGTGTTGAGTCGCTAGTACATCGTTCGAACTGCTGGGACACAACTCGATCCGCTGGCGCAACGCTCGTAGCCCGCGATTCGCAAAGTCTGACACCGGCCTAAGGCAGCAGCAATGATTCATCACCTCGTCACGAATGCGATGGCCACGCCTCGACAAGAGTCCCACCCAATCTGGTAATTTTGAATCGCACCAGGCTTTGCCTGAAAGAGTAATAACCGGAGGGGATTTGTCAGGTCTTATTTCTGTCATTCCACTATATCCACTCAGCGGCAAGCCAGCTCCTATGCAACAATGGATAGTCCGTCGGCATAGCCCGCGATCGGTCCAGTGTGAAATGTGTAAGAAAATAGGAGCAATTCTTCAATATTTGCCGAAATGGAGAACACTTAGCGGAGGAATGAATTTTTCTATCGTTAAAATGATCCGCAACACGTATACAACTAAGCCCCTACTACTTCCATATACTTATTTGCATATTTTCAGGGAGCAATTATTTCTGCACCTGTACGCTCACTATTCGCTGCAACTATTCCAGTTTCCTAGCCATTTCCTTCTAAGTCGCTAATCCCTCCCACGTGAAGGTACGCTCGCCAGCCTTATTCACAACAAAGATGAAGTTACAGATGCGTGTCAAAATTGATCTCCTCTCCTACTGTTTCGACACTTTCATTAATTTATTGGGTATCATATTCAATAGCGTCCTACTGTACGTTGTGTGCCGACATACACCTCGAAAAATGCGTACTTATTCGGTGCTCATCATTAACACTATTATTGCCGACTTTCTGATCGCCTTCTGTGGATTTCTCACATCCAACAGGTATTTTCTTGATCAATCAATCAGTTCAATTAATATGAGGCTTTGCAATGGCCATCGATGTCGGAGTGCGCTATGCATTCCAGTTTTGTTAGAATCGTAGGCACATTTGAATGCGAGGTTGGCCTGTGCGACACCTGGAGTTATAGCGATGTTGAAGTCAGTTCTTATCTCTTCGTAGAAAATGTAGGAATACTCGAAGTGAGGATATAAGTGTGTAAGATTCTATTCAGGGCGGAAGTGGTGTAGTGACAAGTGGCGCGCTCACCACGCGAGCGGTCCGGGATCAAATCCTGGGTCGTGAGTCGCCCGGGCCAACCAAGCCTTCCATCCCTCCGGGGTCGGTTAATTGGTACCAGACTTGTCTGGGAGGATAAAAAACGAAGAACTTGTCTGGGAGGATAAAAACACTGACTTGAACATCGGCTGGCCCCCGCAAGTCATTGTATAGGCCACATCGCATTCAAATGCCACTGCGAATGTACAAATGGAAGTAGAATGCGTGCCGCATCCCAAAAAGGGATTGATCAACGGCAAATGCTTTATCCTTTATCCTTTAATTCATTCATAAATGTAATAATTGGAAATAGAGTCACGAACAATCGACCTGCTTCGCCAGGGTTTTTCAAGCGTCCGAAAGTTTTTAATTGCATAGTGTCATTTTAGATGAGGCTTTGTTCCGAGAGGGATTGATAATGCATTTCTCGAAGGTTTTCACGAAATATGAGGACTATTCAGAGAATTGTAAGATATTCAATGGTAGGTGGATAAAGCCTTAGGCTCTCTGAATCATCCGATTTTGGAAAGTGCAACGCATTCACTACCACTGAGAATCGTAGTGGTGGAAATTGAATACGATTTCGGCCTATTAAAATGAGGGTCTGGGGTGAGAGATCAGTACGATTCCAGTAAGTCGCGATTTTTCTATCCTCTCAGAGTAAAAACTTGTATAATATGTCAATCAACCGACCGGTAGGTAAAAAGGGGGCTCACCGAAGGACGCACGACCAGGATTTTGATCCTGAACCACGCGCATGGTAAGCGCGCCACTTGTCACTCCCCCTTTTTCAGCCCAAGTATTTGGTGACATTCGAGAAAATACTGTTACGACTGTTGTGTATGTTGCGTTTTTGATAGTTCAAAATAGCATAGCCAACTTCAGGTATATTACTAATTTGATGTCAGGAATAGGTGACTTGCTCGGTAGGTTACTTGCTTAGGCATAGGGCTGCCGTAGGCAAACTTGAATACATAGGTGGCATTAAGGTGGAAGGGCAATGGAGAACGTGATCAGCGTATATCATTCGTAATGGGACGCACACTATTCTTCCCCTAGATTCAACTCGCGTCGTCGCAACGCCACACTCCTCTATCTCAAAAGGTCTTCTGCCGAGACCTTGTGTTTGATGAAGTCCTTCTTTACACGCATTTCCGCCTCTCCTTCGAGACTCCTGGACCCTTGTTCTGCGCCTCGATTACGTGGGTCGGCCTCAGCACGTGTCCATGCCATCAAGACCTACACGGCACCTTTAGTTCAACAGAATCCTCGCTCTGACAGCCTCATTTCTGGGCCTCGTGACCTCTCAGTCACCTGCTCTTGTCAGCATCATCATTCAGCAACCGTGAACCTGCAGGACTCCATGAACCACTAAGTTAATCGAATATGTAGTCGAATGCGTTCACAATCCGGGATGGGAGTGAATACCTGGCGCTTCTAAGAAATTACTTCCAATCATCTAAATGTGCTTTTAGGTTGATCCCGTCTGGAGAGGCAATAGTGTTTGTTTCGAACGGTCCTTGCGCACGAATCGGCTCCAGATTTTGTTTGTTGGTCTACGAAACTTTGGTACACGCTCTTGCTCATGGATTGATGTCACAGTTCATTTCATTCTCCTATCGCTACTATATTCTCGTGAATACTCGAACACCGACACGGCTACAGCTGACCGCCATTTGCCTGCTCGTTTACATGCCTTCGTTCTTTCTCTATGTGAGTGTTTCTCTTCGCATTTTCAATACACCTCCTCCAAAACGGATGATTCTTCCAAACTGAGAAGGACATAACTAAAAGCTCTCGTGTTCTAACGGTTTGGCTTTGTTAAGGCAATGAGGGCTAAGCACGGAGAAAAGAGAATAAATGAGAGAGCACAACAGATGAGATGGCGCAGACGCCCCACTTTGCGAACAGAAAAATGAAAGCGGGACACTCGTATTAATAGAATGAGGCAAAATGGAAGCGGCTGAAGCGATCTTGAGAAGACTCTAGGCCCTGTGCGCACTTTAGAGCCGGGTGAACGGAACACCCCTACCCCCTTCATGAGAGACTTTATCCTACCCACTAAGAACTCATCCACCTGAACTCTCATCCTGGATAGTGCCTTTAAAGCGAGATCCCTAGATCGAATTTGTGGGGTTACAGCGGTTAATAATAAAGTTGTGGAAGCCGAATTGACTAAAAATGAAAAGCGCAATTAATCCTTCCAATCGAAGCAACCTCGTACAGGCACAAGAAAATTTTACTAAACAACTGACATGCGAGGTTACAATAAGAAGATTGGTACAATTCTTGCGCAAATCATACCCGTCGATGAAGCCGCAAAACGAAAGTCCTATTGGATGAAGGAAGGGCGGGACTGCGGACGTACGAACGTGCTGCTCCGCGCTCCACTGACCACGCCGATTAATGTAAATAGAAGCTAGCCGTAGTTATCACGTTGCGCGTCATGGTGTGGGCGCTACGTAATTCGTCCAAATGTTAAGATTAGTTGAAAAATGCTAACTTTGCAAGACCCTAGCGCCATTGTTGCGCACTTTCGAGCAACGACAACGGCACATCTGGGTTAGACTACTCCTTCCCATCCACTTAATCGACTCTTTGCTACGAACTTCCTGTCGCTTTGCGAGAAGGATGACGATGGGGTGCCATTGACGGATAATTGTATCAATCCATGAGGTGGATGGACGGTGCGAGAATAAACTCAACTTGATCACGATAAACGCCTTGTTGGCTGAAATTTTTTATAACAATTGTTCGCATGAAATTGAAGAAATTTAACTGGATTTTGAATGATCAGGAACGGCTTTCGAAGGCGAAGTGGAACTCGCGGAAGACTACGCCGAAGTGAAGTCAGAGACAGTCAAAGAAAGGTATGCTCGATGCGCCGGAGAGACCCACGGCCATTAGTTACACAGCGTCACTCAGCTGACTTGATATTTTTCAGCACAATGTTGGTCGAGAATCGCATTTCTCAATACAAAAATTAGCCGTTTTTCAGAGCTTTACATCTAGTGATTTTGAGGATAAAACATCTGCAGACCCGTCTGCTTCCCCATTTTTCACTTATTTGGATTACGCCCTGTTGATGCACCATGAAAAAATATCTACACAGCAGTCCCTCAGCGAAAAAAAAAATTTGCATTCCCTCAAGACAAAAAATGCCAGAAATTTGCGTTAACTGAGCAATAAGAAAAAAACTGCTACTGGAAAAACTCAAATCTTTGAATACTCAAAGGAAAGTGATACGCGGTCATACAGCTGGAATTGGCTAGGGAGGTGCACGACTGGATCGGTAAGGAGACTTAGCGCGTTCCTTGAAGACGACCATTATTGAAACGATGGGTGGCGCTTTGCGGAGCAGTGAACTTATCAACGGAGCAATGGTGGAGCCCAGGCGCAACAAGGCGTCCGGAAGAGAGCCCTTCAGCTCTTTAGCCTCTGCCAGCCACCTCGTCGTGGAAGCGGTTCAAGAACGGCACTTGTGTGATTTATGCCGGTTCTCCTCCAATTTTCATTTTGGAGGGCACCTCTTCCCAGCAGCCATGTCTTCTTTAGTTTATCTGCATCGCATTGATTCATAGTCGTATGCGTTACATGAGATGTGTCCAACCTTTCATATACGCAACTGCTTAGGCCGCGTTCATAGTTCGCGACTCGGGAGATTAGGATAGTAGGCGACAGGATATTAGGATAGTAGTAGAGTAGGAGATTGCGCTGACAAGATTGGATACGTATCGATTGAAATCGCTGGAGAGTAGTAGATTGGGCGACTTCAAGCGAATAGATCAATACATATCAGGGACGGTAGCAAAGTACCCTTAACTCGCAATCAGAAGTAACGATCGGAGATTCTAAGCAAAGAATAAAGAATGGAGAGTGCGATCCAGCCCAGATCAAGCAAGAGCTTCCTACTTTAGATTTCAGACGACAAAATATCAGGAAACGAATAAATAAGAAAAAAAAGGTTGCAAAAGTACCTGAAGATTATGGATCGCAGCTGCATTCTTTGATTCCTAACAGGTTGAGCTGGTCAGAGAAGAAAAAAGAGCACGGGATTGAAGAGGCGCAGTCACCACGTCTGACACGTATGACCCTCCAGTAAAAAGTCCTTCGGAGTACTTTTTACTCGTGGGTCAACGTGGCGTCTGCGCCTCCTCGACCTCACACTATTTCTTTTCTCTGCCTAATTACGAATTAGGTTTACAAGTTAACTCTCTAACTACTAATTAAAATGGTTTTTTTGGTTATGATCTAACTGTAGGTTAAACAAGACTTAATGTGTTGAGAAGCGCTCTGAACCTGTTATCTAAACTGACTTTGGTCTGAGCTAATCTCGACACGTTAAGTCTGAATTAATGAAGGTTTGCTACCGTCCCAGATTTTCAGCACATATCCTATCTCTCGCTACATATAATTTCTATAATCTATCCTGATCTTCGCTCATCATACATATACTTTTTCAGTGTCGCGCCCACAATACCTACTCTCGCAGAATCGAAACTATGAACGCCGCCTTTACTCTAACCCTTTTCCATCAACGGATGTGAAATTTTATTGTGTAGCCTCTCTAAGCCGGCGCGACCAACTTGTCATAAGACAAGTCTCGTGAATAAACCTGTTATTCAAGACGCATGCGAGTGATGTATGAATTGGAAGAGACTGGAAAGTGGAAAGGAAAGCAAGGGAGGTGTCATCGAAAGCCAACATTGACTCCGAGCAAGGTAGCATGTGTTGTAGCGACGGCAGACAAAGCTATCGAGTAGACAAAACACAGCAAAAGAGCAATCCGTGTGAGAGGGCGCTGATCCTCCACATAATCGCGGTGCGGTTGAGGGGCGTTGCAATTAAGTGTCAAATGGACATCACTAACGATTAGTGGCTCCTAGACCGGCGCATTGTGCGCAACGGGCTTGGCACGCTCTCGGTAGGTATGACATTACAATTTCCATCGCGGTATCCTTCAAACTAATACTAACTAATACCGAGCTTGCCTTCAAGCGCTGCTGTACGAATCAAGAAATCAAATGTGTTCTTTGTTCAGGCGTCGCCCGCCTTACTTCACAGGGCACTGATCCTGACATCATTAGGGAAATGGTATTACGTACATCAAGTTTAATCTCGCCGAGTATACGAATATCTGCCATTGATCCCATTTACCGATCCGTTTCGTCTTACTGTCGTTCTCTACCTCATTATACCAAATATACCTCTGTATATATTGATATGCGTGCTCCGAAGAAAGACATACCATATCCTCCAAAATTCTGCCGTCAGACTGAGGAAATGTAACCGACGTCTTCACATGCAACTGATGAAGGCAAGTTTGTTCAGCATTAAAGCAACAGTCCAGGAACGAATTTGCGGGCCAAAAGCACCTATATGGAAGTTGTAGGTGAAAAGTGGTCGAACGTAAAGAGAAAAAGTGAAGAAAACGCCCAACTGGGGCTTAGACAGGGACATGCCCTGCCGTTTAGGGAGACGTGTGTTGGACGAGTTGTCCGAACCTGCCCGTAGTACATGCGCTTTAATTGCAACTGCTGGCAAATAGCTGCATGCTTGCAAATACATAACTACTTTGCCAGCAATCGAAATTGAAGCGCTTCAATTGCGTTCTTATGGAATCGACCTCATACAGCGCGGCGGTCCCGCAACGACCGCTAGTCAAGCGCGGACTCTGCACAGCGTATGTTGGGCGATCCGCCTCTTTATGGGTGATCCGCCCCCTCCAAGAGGACTTCGACCCCTTCCAGCGCATTTTAGAGGTAGGTTTTGAAATTAAAGACATTTCCTATAAACTTTAGTTGGGCTGGGGCATGTTTTGACCGCCTAATGACCAAGTAGTTGAAACCCTGCCTGGACTGTTGCTTTAATGAAGAGGCTGTGCTTTTTACTAATAGAACCACCATGAGGAACGTAGTAAAGGCTAGCCACTCACCAACGGTCTTTTCAGGGGGGGGGGGAGGGAGAGAAACGTCACCAGCGGCGCGGAACGCGTTCGCGCATGCCGGTGACGTCGAAAATGACGTCGCAGCTGCGGCAGATTCGAAGGAAAGGCGAGCAGTGGCCAGCGCCGCTGCCATTTGTTCAGTTGTGCCGCGAGCGAAATGATTGGGTTATGTTCAGGTGAATCCTTGCTCTGTTTCACTATGTAGGACCTCAAGGAAAAACGTAGCGGAGGTTGATCGTGACTACGTCCTACTACATCGTGAATAACATTTAAAGTCGCTCGCTAGTTCAGATCTAAGGAATCGTGTTTTGTATTTCTCGGGTTTCACGCGCTTCTGTTTCCATTGTAACTACATATTTCTATCTAATGCGTATGGTAGTGACCTTTCCTTCATCACTGATATGCCCTTGATAATCGGATAATGTAAAGAGATGATAAGGCTCGTACGTGTAAGACAGTTGCTCAAGTAGGACCAAAATAAGAATGGGAATAGGATCAACGTTTGAAAAAAGGGTACGGCATTCAGCTTCGATCCCTCGGTGGTATACATCACATATTCGATGTCCAGTACTAGCGACATTTGAGTATGTTCTCGGGTCGTGTATTCTTACGAAGTCCAACTAATTTTCAGTCAGCATCAGACAAGATCTGTGCAAGGTTTTCAGCAACTCAGGAGGAAAAGACTCCGTTTTGGGTCTCTATCAAAAAACATTTTTGTATCTCCATGAGCAAGTATAAGGCTGAATGCCCCATTCTTCAAACTCAAACGTGCGGGAGTAGTTCCAACTTTCGACTACTCAGAGTTCCCTCTAGACAAAAACAATACACGCGCATCTTGTTGTGAAGAGGCCAATCAATGAGAGTTGGACGGTTTGTGGAAGCTGGCGCCGGAGCTGCAGAGACTTCTCCCAGTGGGGTTAACGGCCAACCTTCTTACGGGTAATGAATGTCTTTGCCATAGAAGGCTTCTTCTTGTCGGTGACCGGTTGGTTGGGTTTACCCAGGAAAGGATTATGGGTCGAAGTGGACATGTGCAACAAACACTGATGGATGTATTTTTGAATGCTGACCTCAAATGTGCTTTCCAAATCTGCCAATCGATTTTCTGAACGCAGCTATGAAGCAAAATAGAGCAGCGGTAGTGGTCTGGGCTCACGAGTGAGAGATCGTAGGATTAATTCCCTGAGAGGTCCACCCTTGCCTCGTCCGAAAATCGTGAACATCTAGGTCCTCAATAAATTTATAGCTAAACCACATATCGGGGGAATACTACTACTCCTCGCCTGTGAGGCCCGAAACACTATCGCTGCTCTATCTTGCTCCAAAAATCCGTTCATCAAATCGACTGACAGCTTTTGAAAGCAGATTCGAGGTCAGCGTCCAAAATCACGCTGAACGGTCTTGCTCTCATTGCATGCTTACTTCGACCCGTTATCATTTCCTGGTTAGATTTTTCCGGAGGAGGAAAAGTGGATAATTGTAATGATATAAAAAAAGAAGAGTCAAATCTTCGAATAAAAACGTAAAAATGCAGTTCCATTGCAAGCTGATCCTTTTTTTCGACATTTCTCGTATTTTTATAGGATTATTTTAAGGTACTCACGCTCCAGTCATGCACGCCATTACTTTTGATCGCCATGCTTATAATGTACGCTATCGGTCAACTGCAGCTGCTCAATCATCCGGTACTCGAATATCTCTCACAAACAGTGATTGCATTCATACCATTGTGCAATCCAATCATTTCCCTCACTTATATCACACCCTATCGAAAAACGGTCACGAGGTGGTTCTCACACCACTTGCTCGGAATACTCCTACCAATCACCGGGTTCTAGAGAAATATCGAGTTTATGATAAACATTATAAAACCTATTTTGTATAGGCTATGGAAAATAGGACACTATCAGAATCTTTGTCAAAATAATTATTTTTGATTGGGACGATTTTTCTGAAATTCTGCTACGAAAAGGTAAGACGATAGCACTCAGACGGGTTGCCACATGCATTATTTCTTCCAAACAAGGTTCAAATGGCAGACAAAAACTATCGACGTTAGTGCAGACTACCAACCCAAGACAAACTTAGGGCGTTGAAAAAATCACCACGATACGTAACCGTTCCATTCAATCCCTGAGGTGTGTGCTAAGGGCTGAATAGAGCGCTCTTAAATCGCCTAAAAATTTCGCGACTTCGACCTTGCTGCCGCACGTATATGTAGAGCAGAAATCATGACCTGAGCATCGGATTTATTATACAATTTCCCCAGTATTTCCATATCAGTGTGAAAGCTAAAAGTGGCAAAAGTGTCCCAAGCGCGCTAACCATGACCCCGTAGAATTCAGCCTATTAGAATGCATCAAAATGTGTATTTCGAACGTCTGTCTCGTGAAAGGATGTAAATCTACTAATTTTCGTGGAAGGAGTCTAAGAGTAGGTTACGTGAATAGGAGTTTCATTTCAGGAATTTCACAAACAAGGAATCAGAAGTTTAGACTCCTATTTCACCTTCCACCTCAGGCTTACCTTACATATACCTCACATAAACGAGCTTTTCGGAAGAATTAAGGAGGCGGAGTTCTTGCAAGGAAGATCCCACTGTTGAGAGCTGGAAGGGCAGGAAGCGCTTTATTTGAAAAGTTTCTTACGCTATTTTGGCCGTGATTTGAAAACTAGCCAGCCGTGCAGCCTATCATTTGGCCGCAGTGACAATAATGGCAAGAATAAAGGATCCCACGATGAGTCAAAGGGCGAAGAAGTGGAAATAAACTTAGTGAAAAGGCAGCAGCTTCGATGAGGGTGCGAGCGAGCGATGCGATCGAAGCGAAGGGTATCCTCCGTGCCTAGCGAGCCACACCCGCGCCGCTCACGCTGCTGCACTCCCATCACTTGGCTAACCTCTCTACGCCTGACTTTAGCCGCTCTAGCAGAGAGCGTTAGCATTGATGACTTCAGCGCCGATGAGAGAGCGTTAGCATTGATGACTTCAGCACCGATGAGACAGGCCTATCGCGCGAATCAGCGGGCAAAAAAAGAAATCCATCTTGGGTGGTAGGCAGTTTTCTTGGCTTCTTTTTATCTCTGCATCACTGATCACCTCTACCTTGATTTCTAGTGAGCTGTCTTTTCATTGCATACTTTCTCTCTGAGGGAAGATGGTACGATAAATAGGAGGCTGAAAAATGGAAAATCGACCCACGGCAAAAGGAGGCTTTGTCTGCATAGGATCGAAACGTCGCAGTTCAGTGGCGAAGCACTCATCTGTGCCGACCAGGCTAGGTCCTTACCCTTCCTCACTGGCCTTCGTGAAAAGCCCGCCCTCCAGGTGGCGGAATCACACCATGCTTAATCGATGGTGAGCGGTTGGCGTCTATGGCGTGAGGGTAGAAAAGCGTTCTGTTGGTGACATTATCTATCGTAAAATCCGGTCGAGTGCAGAAGTCCAACGAGCAAAACGAGACTCGAGAAAGTTTAGACCATCTTCCTTGATTTTTCTTCACTATTTGTCACCCTATTTTCTTTTCCAACGGGAACCAATTATGTTACCTCCTGCCCTTGATGGGACTGCAGCAGTTGCCTTCTAAGGATAACCACCTGAGAGCCAAAAATCAAAGTGACCTCTATACAGTCACTTCAATCATTGGAGCGTACGATCACTTAAAGGCAGCGATTACGATAAATTCAAGAAGGGTTTAGTGTGACGTGGTGGTGCTCAATGGTACGCCAGTAGCGAAAAAAGCAGAAAAATCCGTCAAGAAAACGCAAAACGGGACCCCCTTTTTTGGCCGTTGGTTTTCACTCATGAACAGGTAACAGCTCAGAAAGCGGACGTATGAACGAGTTCACGCAACGCGTTTGGTGGCACCATGCCAAACCACGCTCCAATCGAGTTGCTCCAGTTGTGCCGCTGCTGCTGGCAACGCAGCTCGTCCAAATCACCAACTAAACTAGTGGGCGGATCGCTTTTGGGGCGGAGTGCTTTCGAAGTCCTGCTCAGCAACCAGCGCACCTTTCGTCGTGAAAGCGCCACATCTCGCTTCCCTGGCAGCCAAGTAACTGATTCGTGTGGTGCATATGCTTCCCCCGATGCGCTCCCTCTTTATCGTAATCGCTTCCTTTAAGCATATCTGTACCACGCCAAGGAGTTTTTTGGGAAATTTTTTTTAGCGAAGTAAGGAAATTCTTCAGATGGGGGTAAATGGAAACTCACCTTCCAGTCGGAACCACAAGTGGAACGCGCATGTTGATTTTTCGACACGCCGCCACCACTCCGTTAGCGATAGTTGCACAGTTCACAATTCCTCCGAAAATGTTCACCAAGACGCATTTAACCTGTAATGCGATCTTTTACAATTATCGGCAAATATCCAGAGCACGAAAGATCTAACACGTCCATTTTGCCTGTAGAATTTTTTCACTTCACCCACATCACTGTTTTGATAACAATCAACTCCTTTACGACCTCGTCCCTGTGAGGAGAAGAGTGTTAGGGAAGCCAGACTGCGGCGGCACACAGCTTTCGTGATCAGTTGGCCGGGTCTACGTAGCGCTACCATTTCAATCAATGAGGTAATGTTACTGTCGCGCTACGCCTTCCTGCTTCAAATGACTTGTCCCTTCCCTTCACAAGAGTATAGCCGAATCGAGAACGGGGTTTCTATCATGGCCACTTGCTGCTGGGTCACGATATATCAGTGTAGCTTTAGCAATGCCGTGCACACTTCAACCCCTCGAAAGCCCCTCTCGACAGGGCAGGCTAGACTCCTAGTGAAATGTTTTATGGAGGAGGATGCGCTCCGTAGCGACTGTAACAAAACTGTGCCGTTCCCCTGAACACTTTTTTGCTTCTGTGCGCTCTCTAATACGTGATACTACCGCCTGGTTCCTACCGTCGTACTGAGCCCTTTTACCACTGAGTGTGACGCATGCTTCGCGACTGTTTGATGACAGCACCTATTGCAGAAACTCATCCAGCGCGGAAATCAACGCGCACGAGAGCGGTCTCGTTTCCCTGTATTTTTTAAACGTTCTTTTGAGTTTTTCTTAAAACACTGCGAGTTTCCCGACCTAAAATTTCATTCCCAATAGACTACAAATCTATCGTGTCCTCATTCTTCGACGTTGCCAAACCAAGCACACCTAACTCACCCGTGGGTCACTTGTGATTATCCGGACGGCATGGAATACTTGATCCTCCGTAACAGTTCCTCCTACATCCAGGAAATTGGCTGGATCACCTCCTTTCAGTTTGATGATATCCATCGTCGCCATGGCCAGGCCAGCACCATTCACTTGAAATTTTATGTTCGATCAAAGCCGTTTTTGCTCGTTTCAAACAGGAAAGGAATACGTGAAGTATAAAGGACAACTGAGTGGACTGAAATTCGGTTGATCGCACTCGAACATTTCCCATGAAATTCGAACTGGATGATGATAGTCAAAGGGTTGAAGCATACCTAAGCAGGCAATGTTTCCGTCCATGCCTATGTAGTTGAGGTTATGTCGGTCTGCTTCCACCTCCCTCGGGTCCTAAACACATAAAACGATATCAAATTTCAAAGAATCAGCACTTGCACGTCCCATTTCCTACAGTTTTCAGTTAAAACGCCTAAACTCTAAACTTACCTGCTCCGATTTGTCTTCCATGGCGAAAATATCCTTTTGTCGGAATTCTGCGCTGTCATCAAAATTCATCTTCGCGTCAACACAGTAAACTGTTAAAAGGATAGAAGTGACACGGCAAGTATAAGAAGGTTGCATTCAAAGAATATACCAATGCGAAACGTACCACCATGTCTAACAGTTTTCACCAAAATGGATTGTCTCAATGCTGGTGGCATACAAACAGCTATGGAAAAGATTATACAAACGCTTAATCTCTTCGGCGGCCTAAAACAAAATAGGAATATGCTTTGCAGGAGATATTATCGTAGCATGCCCCAGACAGGATGTTTTTTTGGAAGAGAAGAATTTTCAATAGGAACTCTTTCTCTAGGCACCGCAAGAAAACGACTGTTTCTGAGCAGCCGAGCAACAGGAAGAGATCTGGCGCCAACAGCAGGACATTGTGGGGTGATGATAGTTGACCTTCGAATTTTGCAATGCTACCACGCATTAAATCACCCACTTAGCTCCAAGTTCGCCAAAATGGCAAAGTAGAAGTCCCATTGAAGAAGTTTGCAGAAAAAATATTTCAAAATTAATTGACTAACATCTTTCACAAGGCTTTCACTGAATCCAACTTTTCCTGCGATTTTCATAGCCTGCGCATCAGTTATACCTTTCTCGATATCGATCGGTTCCTAAAGATAACTTTAATTAGACAAAAAAGGAAAAAGCGGTGAAAAAGAAAAATAAAAGCGCTGCCTGATTACCATATCAAGGCATGGACCATATAATATTATCCAAAGGTCTCAAAGAAAGTGTCAGAAAAATTTACACTCACATAGAGTACTCCGTTTCCAGTGAAAAAGACAACCTATCCAACCAACTGACCTTGAATATCAATTCCGGCGTCTTTTTGGCAACATCTTCAATGTCCATTCCTCCGGCGGAGATGCGACCACTACTGGGCCATTCGATTGTCTGTCCATGAGCACTGCCACGTATGCTTCTCGTTTGATTGTCACACCTTTAGCCACCATCACCTATTCAAGCAAATCATCTGTAAACAAAAACACATGTTCACAATCAGCAAAGTTCATCTAGATGTTTAGGTTTAGAACATAAAAAAGCTATGTACATAGCCAAAATGCCCTATGGGAATCGTATGAATTTATGAAAAAACTACCTTTTCCACCTTGACGCCTTCCTTGGGAGTCTGCTTGGTGACGAGATGTTTACCCACCATCTCACCTACTGCCTCTAGAGCCTGACCTCGGCTGAAACAAAAAACATTAAAACATCTAAATTCTGAACCAACACAGATACCTAAAAACTCATCGTAACGTATTCTTAATTATTTATTTTTCACTCATCAAGAAAGGATCCTATCTGCAAGTACGATCATGAATACTTAAGTCGCAACTATGAAACTGGAGAACTTTACTCCAATGTCACGAAAACGCCGCCCAGTCCTTCCTTTCCATTAACAAAGCGACCTTTTCCACGACCTCCTGCGAGAATCTGAGCCTTCACCACATACTCAATGTCACCTACAAGACCTAAAAGAGAACGAACCGTCAGTGAAAAACAGGGTTAGTCTACAAAACGACAAGACCAGAAACCGAGTTTTATGAGACACGAACCGCTGAGCGCTTCTGTTTTTGTCGTCAGTTCCCTTCCGTGAATTGCCCACAATGATTTTTTGTACGGTGCAACCATGGTTGTCAAGCAGCTGTTTGCTTTGATACTCTTGCAAATTCAAGAACCGCAGCTGACCACCCTAAGAGAAAAAAGTAAAAAGAAAGCAGTAAAGGCTGATCATGTCACAAGAGTACGGTGCACTGAAATAAAAGATAAGAGCGCTAGCGATTCCCCATACACCCATCTATGAGACCGTGCCAGGGTATTCCCAAACAGATCCATACAACGAGCAAATTAGCGTGCGACATTCAGTAGTCAAGACATTTATGAGCGCTTGATGAATGTGACGGAAATTCATCATGACACTCCAGTTGAAGTCAACTCTATTTCTGCAAATCATTCGATGTCACACGTCAAACGATTTCATGTCTATCTTCGAAAGAAAATTATTGAAGAGGACAAACTGCAAAGAACACACTTGAATGGAACGGTCCTTTCCCAAAAACTCAGTCCTGATGCGATCTAATAAACGAAGCCGATGTGAGACTTTGCAAATCCAGCGATTCGCTAGCGAATCGCTAGGTACGAGGCACCAGTGGTTCAAAAGATGTACCAGCGACTTGTCGTAGGCCCAGCCACTTTCAAACACTGTCGAGTCACTGGTATCTTTCGAATCGCTGGTACACCGCTCATATCGCTAGGTGTATCGCTCGTACCCAGCGATTCGCAAAGTCTGACATCGGCCTGTGAGGGCGCAGACGAGCGGAAAATAGGCGCCAAACGGCCTAGCGCCGAGAATGAATGTCATATTCGTAATCAGGACATCAAATAACCCCTATACAGAAGTTTACACCGAAATTTGATGAAAACAAGGTCGGGACAAGGTGATGGCGATAGCGCTAAAAAAGAATGTTATTTTCGTAATCGAGGCATCGAATTACCCTTCGATGCAATGTTTCGACGAAAAATAGGAGATTGAAATTTTACGTTGTAATAGTTGAATAGTACCGTAAACCATTTTGGTATAGAAGCAGCGTATCATTAGTGCTTGTGGACTACTGGTGAATGAATAAAGATTGATTCTTACCTTCGTGAGCGAGTTTCGGCCCAGTAGTCGGCTAGC